ATGAGGTTGACTAGATAACAATCATACCTTTAAATTTTATAAGAGGTCAATTCACTCTAATCTTTAAGCAAACGGAGCTACACGTGTTCTGCTGAACGTAAAATTTAYTATAYAATGCACTTGTAAGACAGAKACAACACATGCGGGTATCACGTCCTCTTAAGTCATAACTAAAAATTATTTAAAAGATAATATATTTTATAACATCTTATATATTATAATTTATAATACTGGTACTTATTGTATTTATCTCAAATTTTAATATAAATAAATTCAGAAGGTAATATGCTTTAAGAGGACGTGATACTCGCATGTGTTGTCTCCGTCTTACAAATACGTAACATAGCGAATTCTACACTCAGCAGTTCAAGTTTAACGCAGTTAGTTTAATAAATTAGAGTAAATTAACTTCCCATAAAATCTGAAGGTAAGAGTAAGAGTATTATTTAGACGGCTTAGTGGGCTTTTTACTATATTTTAATTTTGAAGCGAGTAAGATGTTAAGATGTACAAACAATTTACAATTTTAAAACACTTTTATAGCTCACTTCAAAATTAAAATAAAGTAAAATGCCCACGAGGTCGTCTAAATAATACTCTTAACCTTTAAATTTTTATAAGAAAATTTGGTATGTTACACACTTGTAAGATGGAAACAGTACATCCAGATATTACATCCTCTTAACTAAAAACTAAATTAAACACAATACATATAGTATATCTAACAATATTTGGATAAATTAATTACATTAAATAGTAAATAACTACAAATTTGATCTAAGAATTATTTAGCTTTTAACATAGTGAAGTTAATTAAACAAATAATGACTAACAATAGAATTTATAATATAAGATTTTAGTAAATAAGCATGTAACAATATAATTTTAACAAAATATATAGTTATCCAAGTGAATGCCTACCTACCTAAAATATAATTGTAAAAGTGGGAATTCAAGATGATCTAAAATTATTATTTTGTACAATGTTTCTAAGGAGCTTTGTATGCATGTTTTATTGTTTTTAGTTTAATGATTTAATCAATAATCAATTTTTAAAACGCAAAAAAAAAAGCAATACAATATTTGTAAATAATTACGGAGATAATTACCTAATACTGATAATTTTCAACCACTTATTATGATCAGATTTTTCAAGTAAGTTGATATTTTATTAAATAATTACTTATACCTATAGGACAATATTTGACTTAATGATATGAACTATTCTTTACTAAATAATCTATTCTGTGATAGTAGTGTTAGTTACTAACAAAGCATAAATATATATATATATATATTTTCTTTTTAATTATGTATTATTATATTAATACAAAATATAGGATGAAGAATAATAAATCATTTTTTTAAGCATTAAATAAACAAATCACATATATATAAATATATTGTAGCTTATAATATTGTAACGCTTTGAGTTGCTTATATTGATTATAATCGACATAACCAACCTATGATGGTCAATAAATAAATTAACATCTCAACAATATATTATGTGCATATAGTTAATTATCTCCTATGTAGTTTTTTTTTACGTTCATTTAATATAGGTCTACAATAGAGGACTCTTACAAAATGACAAAGTTCAACTGAACCAACATCATAACTTACGCCACTTAGACACGAGTATCCGGAATTTTTAATAAATACTGTATTTGGTCGCGCTTGACATCACAACAGAAAAAATTTAAAGTGCAATCATATTAATAGAAAAAAACGTACCTGTTGTGATTAATTGAAAAGCTCCGTCGACTGGCCAGGAAATCTGAAAACCGTACACTACTATTACTCGATAACAGTCGTCGGCAATCGATCGACCGACGACGTGCAATAAATTATACTATTCGTCCGCTGTAAATACTAAAATATATTCGTTGCGGTTCGACTACAAAACAGACAAGTTACAACGTGTTATCACTACGGTCTACGACTTACGAGAGAAATGAACAAAATACGTTTTAACAATAATTTTATTACGTAAGACTCGTAAGAGCCTATGTGCGCAACGTTCGCTGAAACGAGTATCGAATATTAACGCCGTTATCAACAATGACAACAAAAGTAATTCTGTGATAATACTTTATACTGAAATGAATAATGAGGTTTGGTGAATGGTGAGTGGTAACCGGTACTTGGTAATCTGGAGGAGTCGGTTGGTCCAGCCTCCGGGACCCGGGGATCTGTGAATCTGTGATCTATCACTTATGACTTTTTTAGTCACTTTGACTTTATCAAACTCGCGAGTCGCGGAGCTGTAGCTGATGAAAGACACCAGGGGAAAATGAGTAGCCTAGGTGGTCCGGTGATTGGCGATACTATGTTGGACATTGGTAAATAATATACCACGAAAAAAATGAAAACCGCGGGGGAGGGGGCTGCTAGAAAAGACAAGGAAACAAAGAAACCAACTGACCCGAGCGAGTTTTGTGACTTAGTGAGTTGAGTTTGTGACGCACGTGAATATGAATGTCACAGAAAAGAAACTATTATAATAGCTAATACAGTAATATGCGGCGCGGCACCAACAAGAAATATCAAATAATTATAATGATATAATTTGGCGATAACAAAATGATAGTATTCAACCATTTCGACCCGCTACCTAAGTGTGTATTTWTACAGAGCGGTCATTGAACATGATTTTAACGTAAACACTCATTATTTCGGGAACTATAAACATTTTTGAAAAAAAAAAATGTTTACCATTTTTCACTGTTAACATTTTTTTTTAATGTTTTACTATTTTTAATGACAACATATTATATTGTCATAGGCGCCCGCAGGGGAAGGGGCAAGCTGGGGCATTTGCCCCCCTGGCTTTTTCAAAATATTTTTTTTAATTGAATGTTTTAAGATAAATTACTATATACTATACAACAAATTTAAAGTATAAAATAAGTTGTAATATAATAAAATATAATATATTGTATACGAGTATAATAAAAAAGGTTCTTATTTTAAAATACCTAGTAAAATTATAATATTTATCCTCAAATCCTAACATTGCCCCCCTAAAAAATTTCTGCGGGCGCCTATGTATATTGATAATTTCTTATTAAGCAGAATATTTTTTAGACAATTACGAAGCATAGAAATTGAATTTCGATGGATAATGTATGAATTAAGTACTTAATAAAGTATTTAAGCTTAGATAGGTGATGCAAGAGTACAAAATGTTGGTCCATAACTCTGTTTATGTGCTCATCTAAACATTAAACTCATAAATAAAATATTTATCACTAATGACCTACACCTACTTGAACTACTCGTCAGAAATATTATTTTTATAAATCAAAAAATTCCGAATAATATTCTGCATCATAATTAAAAATGTATTTTAAAATTATTTAAAAACTTAAAAAATTACATCGATTAAAATATTTTTGGTTTTCAAAAATGTGTCTTTATAACGACTTAAAATCATGAAAAAATTATTTTTAAAACCGTCAATGTCTTCTGAAATTAAACACTATTGAGTGTCTTATGTTAAACCATTAAATGGACACTCCGTATACTAAATAGTAAATAGCAATTAATGTTGTTGACCGTAGTAGGAGGAGAATAACGTAAACTTTACTGAAGAGAAGTGGGGAACGATTCTTACAACATTATTAAAACCAGTTAAATGATATTAAAATATTTTAATGATGTTATGGTTTTTATTATTTGTGATCAACTATCGTAATATTTACATAATTCGACTCAGATTTATCATATTATGTATAGTCGTAAAATATATGAACACGTTGTTTTTAAATAACTGACAATTAACTATATACGAATACGAATTACACGAGTATATTGAGTAAAACATAAATTTGTAGAAGTGAGAAAGTGTGAAATGTGAATGTTTAAATCTAACCGTAGTTTTCGAGGAGTGGTTTTCCTTTTCTTGCTTTCTTGCTATAATATTAATATATCAAACATATTCTGTATATCATTTTTATCAACCGGTAAAAAATATACAGGSCATGAAATACCGGTAGTTAAAAAACTTCAAAGTAAAAATATGATCTGGAAGTCTAAAATTGTTAGAAAAAAAAGAAGAAGGCCTATAAAATTTATAGTCATGAGTGAAAAATTGAAAATCAAAGACATAAAATTCAATTATTCCAATATTCAATAATCCAATGTACCGTGAAAGTACTTTTAACAATATGAGATGATGAAAAAAAATTGTATTTTAATGTTTGTAACACTGCATAACTATTTAAGATCACGTTTGTGATAAAAATTATTGAACAGTGTTGTCACCGAGAAAAATAATATATTATACTTTCTATGTTTCTATCTCAGTTCTCAGATGTAGTACTAGTAAAAGTAAAGTTGTCTAATTCTGTTTTTTTAATTTTCCTAGTGCTGTGGCTAATGATTTATGGGTGCTTGCCGTGCTTGGTGTATATAATATGTCTCTAAATAGCCTAATTGTCTAAATGGTTTGTCAGTAACAAACATACGAAAAGAAGTAAATGTAACCGTGCAAGAAATACCATAAATTTTCTAAACAAATTCTATCAGGAGAATGCAACTAACTAAATAAGATTGGTCAATATAATAATAGACAATAACCWCTTAAATCTGCTTAAATTGTACATACATACTTTAATATACGTACTTGGTTCTTAAATTGTTTAATCTTAATTAATATTTTAAATCTAATGTACCAACTATTAACTAAAATGTATGATTTTAGTGTTATATCTGGTGGGTCCCTCTCTCGAGAGATTTCTGACRACGCCACTGTTCAAATCAGGGCCGGTTTGGGGAACTATGCGCCATGGACAAGGAAAACTAATGCGGTCTCTATTATATATCTATGGTTTAACTGGTTTAAGTTAAGTAATTGAATTAAAAAACTAATATCTGAACTCTGAAAGCGTCGTGTGCTGTCACCCAGCTCGTCTACCCCTAAAACCGATCCTGGTATGAATCGAATAACCGATTCTTGTTCGTTGGACGAGTCAGAGGTTAGGAGTGTTAGGACRGTTAAATTCTATCATCTTTACCTGCTGTCATAACACATTAATGTTAATTAATATGCCATCATTTTAATATGTTCTCAGGGTTTGTAAAGAATAATCCACCTGAATATCTGATGTATAATAATATTAAGTATTATTGGAATTGCTTGACATATATTTAAACACCTTGATTGACGATGGCGAATCAAGATAATATTATACTCTGCTCAACCTAACTTTAAATGCTTAGGGCACGGATTTTAATATAAAAAGTGAATGATTTTTGGAAAAGTCTCAGAAATGCTTTGCGAGTTCTAAATCTATTTCATACATAGGAATCAGAAACAACTATTTGTCATTTTCGAGTATTTTACTAAAATTGTGATAATTTTAAATGCATATATGACGTTTTATATATATTTTTAGGTTAAAATTAAGACGTGGTAATCAAACAATTTTGTTCCAAACCATAGACAAATGTACTAATATATAGCCAATATAGATAGGTANCAAGGAAAACTAATGCGGTCTCTATTATATATCTATGGTTTAACTGGTTTAAGTTAAGTAATTGAATTAAAAAACTAATATCTGAACTCTGAAAGCGTCGTGTGCTGTCACCCAGCTCGTCTACCCCTAAAACCGATCCTGGTATGAATCGAATAACCGATTCTTGTTCGTTGGACGAGTCAGAGGTTAGGAGTGTTAGGACRGTTAAATTCTATCATCTTTACCTGCTGTCATAACACATTAATGTTAATTAATATGCCATCATTTTAATATGTTCTCAGGGTTTGTAAAGAATAATCCACCTGAATATCTGATGTATAATAATATTAAGTATTATTGGAATTGCTTGACATATATTTAAACACCTTGATTGACGATGGCGAATCAAGATAATATTATACTCTGCTCAACCTAACTTTAAATGCTTAGGGCACGGATTTTAATATAAAAAGTGAATGATTTTTGGAAAAGTCTCAGAAATGCTTTGCGAGTTCTAAATCTATTTCATACATAGGAATCAGAAACAACTATTTGTCATTTTCGAGCATATTACTAAAATTTTGATAATTTTAAATGCATATATGACGTTTTATATATATTTTTAGGTTAAAATTAAGACGTGGTAATCAAACAATTTTGTTCCAAACCATAGACGCAAATAGTGTTTGAGATTTGGGGGGGCTGAAGCCCTATAGCTACTGAATGAAGCATTTATACAAGTAATTAACACCTACACATTTTTTTTTAATACAACATAGGTATATCTTAGACTGCGTACTTAATTACAACATTGACTGAAAATAAAACTTACTATAAATATTTTTTTCAAATGTGCTATTTCATCTACTTATAATAGTTGTTAAAATTATATTTATAATTAAATACATTATACGACACATAACTTTTAGGACAACAATAAGAATTATTAATGCTGTAGCCTGTAAGTATGGCTTTAGAGCAACAAGTAACRACCAAATATTATAATTATAGAACAAATTTTTATTTAAAAAAAATGTGCCCAATATATTTTTAGAGCTGTATATTCGTCGATTGGATTAAGCAAATGTATTTAATATWAATATAATATAATAATAATATATTTCAGTATCTACTATAATATCTTTTTCGACATTAAATATTGCTAAATTAGTAAATCGGCCCTGAGTCATGTTAGCTCAGACATATTATGTGTTGATCCTTCTCATAGTTGAAAAGGACCTTTCACAAGTGGCCGAGCTCACTGGTAATGTACTAATGTTACAGGCTGATCTATTCAGCTCTTTTGCAAAGGTGACTTAACAGTTATTTGTTTTAAACAAAACTTTACGGGGTCAACTACGAAATCACAAATTTCATAGGTTAGGTTAGTTGTAGGTTTGATATATAGGCCGTTGTGCCTCATTAACTCTATTGGAAAGTTGTTTGAGAGGCTATTAAAAGTGAGAATAACGCGRCATCTGCTGGAACAGCCTGTTGGAATTTCTGAGTATCAGTTCGGATTTATGAGAGGTAGATCCACCACACAGGCGATCGAGGCTGTCATGGATATTGTAAACAGAGTTGGTAGTGGCCAATTGTATAATCGCAAACTGTGTGCACTAGCTTCGCTCGACGTCGCTAATGCATTCAACTCCGCACCGTGGGAGAAGATTGATGCAGCTCTAATACACAAAAGGTTC